TGACAGTGTGCAGAGCATTTATGCTCTGAGCATGCTACCATAGCATCAGCTTTGCTACCTCTCAAGCCTTGCAGTCCCAGATTCATACAAAATAGTTTGTGTAGGCATCTTCAAGAGAAGAAAAGAGCAAATACAACAGGATTGTGTCTAAGTGTTTGGTGAAATGACAGCAAGAAAGGAGAAGCTGTGAAGGCAAGGTCTCAGCTGTTGTTAACTGCTCAAGTGTCACTGAGCTGAGCGAATTACACCCATTTAAAGCAGCCTCCAGCGCTGCACTACAGTCATACCAAGTCATAATGTCCTGGTTTTGTTATGGTAAGCTAAAGATCCACTGTCACAATGCCTGGCATAGCAACTCTGAGAGTGAAACCTCATCCAGGCAGCCCCAGTTAGAGCAGCAGAAAGGGGAATCTAGATGACACCCCCTTCCCAGGGAAGGGATCAGGTGGCACTATCTAAAGGCCCACACTTCCCTCCTGAAACCACTGAGAAATGTCTCACTTTCTCTTGACCCTGGGAGTTGCAGCATAAACCATCCCACTTAATTCTCCACCCTGGAAAACACCAGTTTCAGGGAGTTTTCTGTGGTTTTAACAGGCATATTTTGAGCACAATAAGTACTTCAACCACTGACACATGAAAGGTACTCTGTTTGAAAATGTTTTCCTTATTTCATTTCAACATTGGAGATTAAGGCGTATAATTAAACAGTTGTAAAGAAACTGCAGTTTCTAACACCTCGAGTTCTGTCTGTAACTACAGTAAGGCGTTTTATCTTCCAAAAGCCTGTCACTGGGTGACTATTAACAATAGCAATGCTGTGTGTTCCAATCATTAGGAAAAACTTATCACTACAATTATAATCATCAACTAATAAAAACAGCCAGATGAAAAACAATGATAGCAATTACTACTAAATGCTAAAGTGATGCTCGTTAAGATAAAAAGCTTCTAAAATAGGGGGGAATATTTGCTTCCAAGGGGTTGTTTGCATCTCAGACTCATTTGTATCACTGTTATCCTAGATGGAAATTTAAACATGATCAGGCTTAGCTAGAGTCTCACAGTTGACCTTCACATTGGCACTGAAGTTGGTCAGCTTCTTATTATTATCTTAAAAGTTGCTTTGCTTAAGTAAGTTCCATAAAACAGCAGCAAATTTCTCCATGTCACTTCCTTTAGAGGAGTTGCTCATATCTACTGTCAGCATCGAGCTCTTTATGTAGTCAATAGCCTCCTTTGGACTAGAACTAACAGAAAGCGTAGAGAAGCCCACAGATCCCACTCCTGACTTCACAGTCCATTGGGAAGTGCTTTCCCAATATTCTTCACTTTAGCACAGAGGAGATGCTGCAGTAGTTAGAGCTGTGCATGCTGGTGCTGAAGGCAGCATCCCCCAGAGGATGCTTCTCCACGAGTACATACGCAGAACCTCTGCCTGCTCCGGCCACCCAGGAATAAAACAGCATTTCAGGAGCTCCATTAAAAGCCAGACTTACCCACTTCATCAGTGAGATCAACTGGAGAGAAGTGCCTAGGAGAGCCCCGCGATGGCAGAGCTTTTATACAGTGAATAAGTGCCCTAGGGGAGTGAGGCGGTTTGGCTGGGTGATGCTCTAATTGCCTGCCAGTCCTGGACGAGCCACGTGCAGCTTCATGCCGGCGGGAATGGCTGTCCTTGCTCTGTGAGGTTGCTGTCACCACCAGGTACCATCGGAACATCTGTGAGCTCCATGAGCTGGAACCTCATGATCCAATATACTGAACCAGCGAAGCATCTGGGAAGCTGAGGGCACCCTGTGCTCATGGCCTTCGTGCTCTGAATTCCCATGCGCAGTGCCAAAGCATCCCAGCATGCCCATCGCAAACCCAGGCCAGCTAAAATATACCTTTCCACCCAGAAAAAGATTGTAGTTGAGACCACCAAAGGGACTTCTCATTTCCGTGCCTAATCCATTTGGTGCCTTTGAAAACACCATCCAGGAAGGACTCTTGGCAACTTTTTGCCAAGACCATAATTACTGTGGCATGCAGACTTCCTTCACTTACACAGGGAGCCCAGGGAAGAGACGGATGATTTGGAGTGAGAAAGCCTTGGGCTAAGGCAAGATGGCTACTAAAAAGGACTTGCTACGAAGTGAATGACCTGCTGAAAGAGATGACGCTTTTCCGGCACAACAAAGAGGAGAAAGGACAAGCAGGAGCCCGGGGAAAGGCGGCTGAATCAAACCCAGCTCATGTCCTGAAAATACAAATCCTATTTCCTGCTTTGCTGCACAGTCTCTGCACCAGTCATCCCTCCCTTTGTTCCCTGTTTACACCACAAATGAACCCAAAGGAAAATTAACAGTGGCATGAACAGAAGTGCCAATAGGGAATACATTCTTACGTAGTCATATAGGCATAAGCCAAGGTCCTGGGCTTTATTTTCCTTTATTTTTTTTTCCTTTAATCTGACACCTATGACTTGGGTTCCAGCATGCTGGGAATTCAAGTGAGGTCCCATGCATTGAAATAAAAAAAAAAAAGTGAAATAAGTTAACTTTTAATGGAGTAGGTGGAAAATTTTTCACCAATGTGAAGCACTGGGAATGCTGCTGGGCTGTCAACTCTAGAGGTATTTTAAAGACATATTTAGGAACCTGGTGGACTTGGCTGTATTGTATTTATGATTTAGCTCAATGGACTTAAGGGTCTTTTCTAATCTAAATGATTCTATGATTTGAAGCAAAATATTGATCTCCATCTTATGAACCACTTAGTAAATTTCTATTTCTATTTTCATTAGAAAATTCAGAAGCCTGAAGGTAGGTTTGTTATTTAAATTTCTGATTTTCCAACAACAACAAAAAAATCTCACTCACTATCATACAGAAAAAAATACAAAGTGTGTGTTTCCCCAGTTGATGCCAACAACTTTTACTGTGTTTCACTCCCTGGAGCTATAATGCCCTTTTTTGATGTTAAATGATCTGACCTAAGATTTTGGGAATCAAGCTGGCGTCAGAGAACAGGAAAGCAGATTAATACAGTTTTTACAAGGTCTATAAATCCAACTCCTGGGCAAGCTCCAGATCAAGTAGCCTTCAAGTAATGCTAATATTCAGTTTAGTGTTTCCAGTATAGGTAGCAGAATACTAACCCGATGATAACATCGTGCTCTGTCATCCAAATATTCTTAATTATCATCTGTAAAGTCCTTTCATCTCAGAGAGACGCATAGTGCCACATGGGGCATTGTTGAGGGGGGTATTATTATTCCCAGTTAAGGACAGGGGAAACTGAGGCACATTGCACTGTGGTCACTTGGTGGTGCAGAGTGAGTCAGAGCCGGGGTCAGAGCCAGACTCCATCACAACCACCTTCAAAACAAACCCCGTGCACCCTGTGAGGTAAGGCTCTGCACCACCTGGCTACCCATCACCACCAGGAAGATTTTCCTAAGGATCCCCTGGGCTCTGGCACCTGTGGAAAAGACACAATGATGTGAGAACTCCTCAGAAGGCCACCCCATTGTTTATTTCTTGGTTTTAAAGGGGACAGAAAGTGTTGGATTGTGAGAGCATCCCTGGCTCTTCAGGGTGGAAGGAAGGCCATGGTCACTGCTGCTCTTGAGTGCAGCCTCTCTGGTCCAAAGCATCACCACTGAATATTCAGGAGAAGGCATGAAAAGGGTTTGGTTCCCCATGACCCACTGAGCTCCCTGGGGAAGCAGCCAGGTGCCCCCTTGACATTGCGAGATGCTCAGGTCTTGGACACTTCCTTGCCTTCAGAGGGCAGCCTGCAGTGACACCCCAAGGTCACCGAGCAAGGGTGGAGCAGGGCAGGATGCGGGGCAGCGTGGTCACACCCTTCTCTTTGTCTTGCAACACTTGTTTTCAGCCTCCAAATACACATGATCTACTTAGCATGAGTTACTACTCGTTCTCCTAATGATAGGGCATATTACAGGATTTTTCTGGTTTTTAGACTGGATTCACTGTATTTAATAAAGAAGAACCGTGAGACAGGAAAAAGACAAGATACTTAATCTCAGGTCAGACAACTTTATTTAAGTATATATATATGTATGAGTATACATATATATATGTGTTTTGTTTTCAATATATATATGGGTTTTGTTTTCAATGTGTAGAGTACACACCTTTGAGCAGCATAAAGAATATGGTTAATTGCTTTTACAGCTCAAACATTTCTAAAACAGTCGTGCTACAACTTTCAGTATTATTTCAAAGACTTTCATTTTTTTTCAAGTTGTGTTTTCAGTATTCATGAAAGCAACCAAGTGAAGAAAAACTTTCATATATAAAATTTCAGCAAGCATCAGCTTCATCAAACCAGGAATCCTGCCTTGTCTGGGGACTCTGCTGAAGTCAGCGCAGAGTCAGTGTTTTAAAGCAGCAGGCATTTCTGGCCACCTTCTGAAATGAAGGCCGTTGGAGGAAGATTCATACACCGTTTGCTTAGCAAATTTACTTTTGGCTTCCAAATCTGGGTGTGAAAACAGATAGCTTTTTTATAGTTCTCTGTTTTGGAGAACTTGCAGCCTCGTGGAACCCAAGTCAATCTGAACATTGTCTCCTAAGGACTAAACGCAGAGTTGGGCACAGCCCACTCCTTCACTGACCACATCACCAGTCCTTTTGGTGCTGTCATGATCTGGAGTCCTTAGACATTTCTATTTCTTTATACATGTATATATATATTTAAATCATTATTCATTTTAATTGTGTGAGAATTTAATAGCATCCCGCTAAACTATGCCTTGCAGCAGATAAAGGTACAAGCCTAGGTACCTGGAGTGCAGCCATGGATATAATATCACACCCTATGGCCCAAACTAGAGCTGAGCTACAGGGGAAGCACTTGAAAACAGAGATAAAGCAGATTTAAGCAACAGCAACCAGTTGGCAGGTGGTACAAGGAGATCAATAACCCCCGCCAATCCCAGAAGTTGTACCTAGCTCTTTTCCTGTGGGCCTTCCTTTCCCTTCTCCTTTTTACCAGGGCCATTTGGAGGCAGAGCAGTACTTTTTAGCGTGGCTTGAAATTTTCACTCCACCTGACTGACACTGCTGCTGTGGGACACACTGCGTGGCACACTGCTGCTGCGGCACACACTTGGTGGCACACTGCTGCTGCGGCACACACTTGGTGGCACACTGCTGCTGCGGCACACACTTGGTGGCACACTGCTGCTGCGGCACACACTTGGTGGCACACTGCTGCTGCGGCACACACTTGGTGGCACACTGCTGCTGCGGCACGCACTTGGTGGCACACTGCTGCTGCGGCACACACTTGGTGGCACACTGCTGCTGCGGCACGCACTTGGTGGCACACTGCTGCTGCGGCACGCACTTGGTGGCACACTGCTGCTGTCTCACACACTGGGTGGCACACTGCTGCTGTCTCACACACTTGGTGGCACACTGCTGCTGCGGCACACACTGGGTGGCACACTGCTGCTGTGGCACGCACTGGGTGGCACACTGCTGCTGTCTCACACACTTGGTGGCACACTGCTGCTGTGGCACGCACTTGGTGGCACACTGCTGCTGTGGCACACACTGGGTGGCACGTTGCTGCTGTGGCACGCACTTGGTGGCACACTGCTGCTGTGGCACGCACTTGGTGGCACACTGCTGCTGTCTCACACACTTGGTGGCACACTGCTGCTGTGGCACACACTTGGTGGCACACTGCTGCTGTGGCACACACTTAGTGTCACACTGCTGTTGTTGCACACACTTGGTCGCACACTGCTGTGGGATACAAATGGTAGCACCATCACTGTCACACCGCTGTGGGACACACTTGGTCACACACCTGGTTGCACGCTGCTGTGGGACGTACGTGGTTGCACACTGCTGTGGGGCAGAAGAGGTCACAAAGCGGTGCGATACCCATTTGGTTGCACGCTGCTGTGGGACACACGTGGTCACACACCTGGTTGCACATGGCTGCTGCGGGGTGTATGTTGTCACACACTGCTGTGGGATGCACTTGGTTGCACACTGCTGCTGCGGGATGGCCTTGGTCAGGTACGGCTGCTGTGGCATACATGTGGTCACACATCTGGTCTCACACTGCTGCTGCGGGGCATAGGCGGTCACACACTTGGTTGCACACTGCTGTGGCACAGCCTCGGTTGCACACTGCTGCTGTGGCACACACTTGGCCACTCTAGGCTGCTGCAGCATGCCCTCAGTTGCACACTGCTGCTGTGGCACGCAGGTTGTCACACACCGAGTTATACGTGGCTGCTCTTGGATGCGTTGGGTCACACACTGCTGCTGTGGCACACACTTGGTCTGATACTGCAGCCGTGGCACACACTTGGTCACACTCTGCTGGTGGGAGAAGCTGGAGGACATGATCCGCTGCCGGGGGATGCAGGGGGTCACATATTGTGGTGTGCATAGTGTCGAGTGCCAGGTAGGCACTGGCAGATGTCTGGCAGTATATACTGGTGAGTACTTGATGGGGATGGAGTTCTGGTAGACTGGAGGGAGGCACTGGTGTAGGTAGCACGACATCTTGGTGAGGCTTTGGCAGGATGGGAACGGCACGTGAGAAAGCCTTCAGAGAGGCTGTTTCTTGCTGTCCTGCTGCTGCCCGTGCTTCAGGACTGGCTTGTTTCACAGGGTGCTGGAGACACGTCCCACCTATGCCATGGTCTCAAAACCACAGCAGCAGCAGCTGAAGACCCAACCCATCATTTTTAACTCTGAAACATAACATCAAGTCAAACAGTGGGGAAATTCAGAGACATATAGCGCCAAATATCTCCCTGGACTGCAACTCCCTCCCCATCACCTCGACCTCCATGGGGAGAACTAATCATGGAGGTCAGCAGAAGAATGGCTGATCTCAGAGCTTTCAATCATTAAACACAGTTTTCCCTTCCTATGACCTCTTACTGATGCAGTGAGAAAAAGGCCCAACCCAGAAACGAGGTCTGAAGCTCTCGTCACATCTGCCGTAGCAGGAGAGACAAACAGCACTCAAGGCTCCGCTGTTTGATCCCATCACACCATGGGCAGATAGAGGTCCACAGCTCAGTCCCAGCATCACAAGGCTCGTGCTCATTATGGAACCAATGCTTATTAAAGGGTAGTGATACCACAACTGAACACAAACCTGCTTGCAGCTCTTTTAGCATTACCATTGTCTGGTCCACCAAAGCTCCTCTGACTGTTGTCAGGCACCCCCAAAAAGCAAACAATAATAGCAGCACCCCAATTACTGCTGACAGCCTTTCCTTAAATTCTTCTGGATTGCCTTTTGGACTCAGAGGCCCAGCTGAAGACACGAAGAGCACGCTGCTACTCCAACACAGCAATTCAAGCCAAATCATTTTAAAAACTTCTCTCATAGACCATTTTTAGTACATAAAAAAAAGTAGAAATAAATCTGCATTTCAGCAGCTACAGAGGTTCGGCACAAACCAGACTTACCCAGCTCCCTGGTGAGAACAGCTCAGTGGTGTGACCAGTGAGCTCTAATAGAAGGAGAGCTTTTATATAGCTACTAAACATGCCTTGAAGGTATGAGGTACCCATGACATAGCCTATTAGCTCCTATGCAAAGCTGTCCTGTGTGCAACACTCGTAGTGACTAGCATCAGTGTACTCATCCCTGAGGATGAGTAGTTGAATGTTAGCTCGCCATAGTAAGAGTAATTACCTTTAGTATAATCCTCCCTGGCATGGTAATACTTAAAGGTATTTGGAGAGGCAGCAGCAGCGGCATCCTCTGCCGCAGGGGTTTTGCAAGGCAGAAGTGCACCAAATAACAGCTGGTAATGGCTTTCAGAGGTCTCACTGGAACAAGGCTTCACAGTCCCTGGAAATGTCTTGGTGGTCCCCATGAAATGGGGCCATCCCATCACTCAGCCTCTTTCCACACACATGTGGCATTGTTTCATGCTGTGAGAGCTGCACTGACTGTTCCATGTCTTTCTCCATCTTTAATCCCTGGTTAGAGCTTCTTATCTGCCCTATAAGGCCCAGCAGCCAGGGTTGGCTGTGTTTGCAGGCTGGACATAGGGCACTGGCTTCTCTAAGGAAAACAGGAGCTCCTAGTAAGGTTCAAATTATTCCCTTGGGTGGATGCAGTTCATCATCCACAGAAAACTTCATTTTTAGCTTGTGTAGTTCCAGAGAACACATGGCCACTGGTGTCCTGATGCTCCCATGATCCCAGTGCAGTCACCTGTCATCAGAGCAATGGGAATACACAGTCCAGTGACTCTCAGATGAGCGGAAAAGATGAGCTACAGTCATGTTTGATTACAGCCCTTGCACAACAAGCTCAGGAGTCAAAGCTGTAACCGGCCACACAACAGGCCACAAAAAGCACCAGGAGCAGATAAACTTCCTCCACACTTGCAGGTGACTTTCTCAGTGAGTCAGCTTCTTATCACACACTGTGCCCAGATTAAAAAGACTGGTTAGAAAATTTAGAGATTAACTCTTTGAAGTCATCGGTGGTCTGATCAATGCTTTCATGTGTACGTTGTCACATGAAATAGCCTCCATAAGTGACAATTTCTTCCTGCTGGCTACAGGGAGAGCTGAGGGGGACTAGTGCAGAGGAGTGCTCAGCCTGCTGGCATGTAATGCTGGTTCAGATCAAACACACTCCGAGAGGATCACTTCCTGAGCATGTTTATTAAAACCCATGGTTTCTTGTGAGCTAGAGAAATGGCTCTGCCCACCTGGGCTTTGAGGCAAATAAAAAAGTCCATAAATAATTCTGTAATGAAACTGAATAATAAAGTTTAGGTATTCTTGGACCACACTGAGGAAGAATCACAGAGAGTGAAATTCTCCCTTTCCCATAAGCTTCTCCAGTAAGAATGAATCCTGCCCCTTGCTGGTCAACATGGAGTGTGATCACCTTTGCCTGAACCACAAGTAATGTGTCTTTGTTGTGTCATCTCTCTCACAGAAATTGGTTCTTTAATCCAAAGCCATAACTCTTCATTGCTTTTTAGCTCTAAAGGTTGTAGCTGTGATCCTCCCAGTTAACCAAAGTGAGCCGTTCGCTTTTGTATTATTTCCCTTCACACCGTCTCAGCCTTCAAACAAATCCTTGTTTCATCCCATACTTCACTGTAACACCATGTGTACCTGCCCAGCTCACTGAAAGCCCAGGTGAACTTTAATTTTCTGATCACAACAATGACTCTTCTTTCATGTTAATAACCAGTACTGTCCAAAACTATAGAATCTAAGAAAGAAACCCCCCAGAAACCCAATTAGGCTCCATTTCAACTTTGTCAACATAACAACTTTGGACTTTCACTATACAACAATTTAATGAGTGTTTTATTTTCCCATGGCAATGCCTGTCAAAAATGTGTGCTTCTGTTGTCATCATCTGTGCATACCCTGGCACTGTTCACCTCCCCTCCATAGCCAGCCCCACCTTGAAGTGGTTGTCAGCTAAGAAAACCTCCTGTCCTTTTTTAACCTGCCTAACAACCTGGAAAATAGCATGAGATGAAGGTGGGGAAAAAAGAAAAAAAGAGGTTAAAACAAAGCTGTGGCACTGAGAAGCATGAAGAGGGAAGCTGAAAAACATCCTGGAGGAGATGCCAGGTGAGACATTAGGGAATCCACCACCTTCCCTTTAATAAGTCAGGAATGTGAAGGAGCATCTTCACAGTGTGGCAATTTTGGAGCATGACCAATGACACAAGGAATGCAAAGCTCCCTGCCTGCAGAAGAAGGGGCCATTAGGAAAAGAAGACAGAAGAAACAAGGTCCATTGTCCAGGTATGATCTGGGAGATTGGGTTGAAACCTCAAGTGATGTAAAATTAGCCTTGTTCCATTAACAGTAATAAAAATATAACAATAAACTGGGCAAAGAGCTGTAAATGGGAGGGAGCTACAGTGCGGAGTTGTTAGGCTTTAAAACTAGTTCAATGTGAAGACCACTCTATGTGTCAGGCTACAACAGCAAAGCCAAGAAATATATCCACCTTGGAGAAGTATCTGCAGGAGGATGGGATGGCTATTTCCTCCAGTCTTTCCAAGACACAGCCATTCCCTCCAGCCTCTCCAAGTGTTGTGGTTTAACCCCAGCCAGCAGCTGAGCACCATGCAGTCACTCACTCACTCACTCACTCACTCCCTCCCTCTGCCCTCCTACCCCTTGCCCTGGTGAAAGCAGGTAAACCCCATAGGTTGAGACAAGAACAGTTTAATAATTAAATTGAGATAAATAAAATGCAATAATAATAACAGTAATAGCACCAATAATATAAATAAAGAAACAAGAGGAATGAAACAAATAAAATCCTCCAAGTTATGTGCAATGCAGTTGCTCACCATCCACTGACTGATGCCCAACCTGTTCCTGAGCAACAATTGGTGCTTTCCAGCCAACACCCCCCCCAAACAGTGTTATACTATATATAATAGTATATTATATATTCAGTATTTCTATACTGAGCATGATGTTCTCTAGTATAGAATATCCCCTTGGATAATTTGGGTCAGCTGTCCTGGCTGTGCTCCCTCCTGTTTTCTGTGTTCCCCTTACTGGCAGGGCATGAGAGACTGAAAAGTCCTTGACTTTTCCATATTATTCTCAGAATAAAGCCAAAACAGAGCACTGTACCAGGAAGAAAACTACCTCTATCCCAGCCAAAAGCAGGACACCAGGGCATGGTCATTTCCTCCAACCTTGCAAAGGAATGGCCATTTCCTCCAGCCTCACCAAGCATGGGCATTTCCTCCCATCTCTCCACAGCATGTATGTGTCCTCCAAGCTCCCCGCGACATGGTCACGTCCTTCGAGCTCGTAGGGCACGGGCATTTCCTCCACGCTATACAAACCACTAGAGAGCAGCATTCGCGCAGGCAACCACCTCCTGCAGCAGCTTCGCAGATCCCAGGTACTGATAGTTGGGAAACTGCCTTCCGATGCCCTCTCATGCCAGGAAAATAGTTTAAATTGGCAGCCCGTGAACAAGTCCAAGCCAATGCCCCTGCAGCCCACCCGCAGCCTCCTGTTCTACCGCTGTAAAAGCCAGAATGCCTTGTTCCAGGTGTTCCTGGGCATGAAGAGCACACACGGAAGCAGTAGTTGGCCAGCACACGATGTTCTTCACCCAAGAGTACATCTGTTCAGTGAATCCCTGCGGGGCACTAAGGTGTATGCAGGGAGGGGAGGGCAGAGAGTAAAGAAAACATGAGCGAATAAGAAGAAATTGCACTTTTATTGTATCAGACTTGTAATTAGAAAGCCACTTACAGGCTGTAGATAATAAAACTTAACATATTATTACCCAGCAAGCAGTAAACTCACAGTCTTACTCTTTCAATGATTTAACAGCACTGAAGGCAAAATTCTCAGCCCATCATGCATCAGAATGAAATGCTCCTGACTTGGACTCTTTCTTGCTTCATTTTAAAAGTATTTTATTACTTAATGAACTCTTGCTGTTCCGCAATTAGTAGACTCACACCCCTCTTTTTTCTGGTTGCTACCAGGTTCAGTGAAGGTTATCCTGTAGAAAATCT